GGCTCTCAATCTTGATGTTTCCACCAAATACAACAAGCTAGCATAATTGGAGAAAATAACTTCCGAACAATCCGCGTGCGAATAATTCTCGAAGACAAAACAAAATGCTCTGCAATAAGCTCCTATTTGGAATTTGGAGTAATTCAAGCCCTCCCTCACTCTCACCCTTCCAGACCCTTCCTTCGATTTTAAAAAACTACATATAGGATTTTGTTTACTGCGAAAAAAAAAGAATATTCATGATTGGAGGACATCGGAGAAGAGCGAATGGGAAATTAGACTCGGACGGGCATTCGACAAAAATGCCTTCATTTATCACGCAAGATTGCCATCGTTGAAGTGCATTGGTATGCATTTTTTCCGCGCGCGGCACGTAGATATTAAATTCGCGGGCGAAAAAAATGATGAACGATATATCAAGATAACGTGTGTCATCGACGAGCATCGTCGCGCATTCACTGATAACAATCGACGTCACTTAACGTCACTTCGTCGTCCGCGCAATCGCGCCGTTGTCGATATATGTATATACAGGTTTATATGGGTTTATAGGTCGTAACAATGCAAACAGTGACGCATGGCACTCGTCGGGAATCACCCGGCGCGATTTCCCCCTCGCGCGAAACGAAGAATTCCCGTTGAGCATCCGAAATGACGGACGGGTAATTAAATTGGCGCGGAGATGACGGCGAGCGCGCCGACGACCGAGGGTCGTCGAAAATCGAATCGAGAATCGCGACCAGGGCGACAGACACCCTGAAATAAAAAATCGGGGAACCTGCGAAAAGCTTCTGCGAAACGCTTGATAATCAAACGCAAATATTTGTCAACGTTATACCTTGTTAAACCGTCTTGCTGTTATTTTACCGCGAATCGCTTCGGTCTTTTTTCTTTAGAAATAGAGGAATTATCGAAACTCATTCGCGTTGAATCGCAATCGCATCGAATCGGTTTTTCTCCTTTCTCGCAAACTGCGATCCGCACGGTGCAGCAGTAATTTTTGCATGCAAATTCAGTTTGGTCGGTTACGCCGGCTTTCCAGCGAAATTGTCAGCGAGCGTAATTTCGTATATCCGAATAAATTGCCGTCTCGGTGGGGATGAGCACCGCGGTTTATCCGATGTCCTGCAACGACGTGCCCACGGAATTCCCACGTGCGCGGCAACGGAATTTACAATAACGGCGGATAACGCGAGGCGAGATAAGAGATACTCGGCGGAAAATAGTTTCGCCCCGAAATTGTAAGTTGCCCCATGAAACGACGGCGCCTTGAAATGGACACACCATGGGAAAACGAGGCACCTGAGAACGATCAACTACGATGGCCCTTTTATGGTATCGCTTAGCTCTACTATACAGGATATCCTATATAGCAGCGGCGCGTATGCTACTTTAAATAATAAATTATCCCGTGAGTTTCATCTCAAAATATTTGTCGGGAAAGCACATTTTGATTCGCGCTAGCTCCACGCGAATCAATAATTTAACACGAGTTTGTAATTTTACAATAAATTGAAGTTTTAATAAGAAAATTATGTTTCAACGAGACAAAGCTTTTTTTCTTAAAGAAAAAAAAATGAACTGACGCTTGGCTCCTTTCGCATAAAGTTTGCCCGATCAGTCATAGACGCGAGACGAAACAAAGTCGGTCGTAAAGTAATCGGCGGTCGCTCCCGTCGAAGGGCCGCGCTGTTATTTCTGGAGAATTTCACGACGTCGCGTTTAAACGTGTTACACGGGCGTTTAAACGATCCGATGTCGGGATAAATATTATTAATACGTGGCACGCACGTTACATCACGTGCCGCGTCAATTCCGGACCGTCAGGTCCCGCTTTCCTTGCGATATATACTTTTCAAAAACGCGGCGGCCCGCGATCGTTTTCGTTCGCGTCGCAACAAACGACTTGGACCCATTAGCATCCGTCTTACTAATAAATATTGGCACCACTCGCTGCCAACCACTAAGACTATTTTCTACCAGTCTTCGTCGTTCCAATTATTCTGTTTTTTTTCTTTTAACGAATTTCAGACATGCACGGATGCCGAAAAAGAAGCACTTTCTGTTAATGAAAGTGACATTTTTCACCATCTGAAAATTGTGATTCAAAGCCCTAATCAAATTCGGAATATTATTACAGTTATAATATTATTACTGTTGTTGTGTAATTATTATATTATTTATAGTTGTTGAAATTAAGTGACTTGATAGACTCTTGACAGACTTCGAATTTACTAATATAAAAATTTAGAAAATTAATTAGGTAAAAGCCACTTTCAATCCTTTTTATCGTTTACTTCAGAACACAGTTTGCTTCAATAAAGAATACAAATACAAAACAAAAACGTATTTATCGGCAAGTGTCTTGACGGAGTGCGAGACAAATTTATCGCGGCGCACCTACTCTAACGATCGTAAAATATATAAAATTGTACAGGGGCGGCCGTTACTTTGGCCGAATCTGTCGGCGGTATAAAGCACCGAGCGGCTGTTTAACGTTGCAGTGCCAGGCGAAGACGTTCGGCGGAAAAGTTTCGAGGCGGGGAACTTATGCCGGGAATTATGCGCGCGGCGAACGCGCGAGGATGGCCGCGAAACTTAAGTCCGGATTATTTGCATCGCGTCAGTGAGGAGAAAAAAAGAGGCTCGGTCGCCCTCGTCGTCGTTCTCGTCCTCCAGTAAAATACACGACTCTCCTAACGAGCTAGTGGTGAAGTCGTTGCAGTTTCCCCTGCAGACGTTTTGACCTCCTTATCGAGCCCTCTTCGCGAGATATCCCATTTCGCACGTTAATAATACTCACGCCTCACTTATTCTCGCCTCTCTAGCTGCGAATTTTCTAATGGTACCTTAGCTAATTAATAGATCGGGCCTGCACGCGGGTGAAAACGAGCGAATTATTGTTTCAGCGCGCAACATAATAAACGACACAAATTCCGCGAACCTCAATGCTCTGTTTGAATAAACTTAATTTAACAAAGCACATGGATTATATCTGTGATTATATATGAAAACCGTTATTTCGGCTTTAATACTATTTGCCGATCACCGTGATTACCGTTCCAAGAAAGATAACGTTACTATACAAAACGTTAAAGCTGAGTTTTCGCAGGTTTATGAAATTCCTTTTGCGAGATTTTCCGCGTGTAATAATATTTAACTCGAATAATTTCTACGTTCAAACCAATTTCATATTCAGTAATGATTCAGTAATAATTGAAACGTTCATTCTGCAGCTCTTAATTAAAGATTGAATCGCTGTCGATAGACGTGAGATTAAATATGGAGGATGTTGGATGATAATCGACACGATTAATTCATTTCGGAATCTTCTGAGTGAAACGTGGAGATGCTTGAGAGTCCCCTTGAGATACGATCCCGATCAGCTGTTTCTTTTGTTGCGGGATGCTGGGAGCACTTGTGCGGTGAGCGCACTCTTAACGTACTTAAAAAATCTCGCGTAGCCAGGCGAAAAATCTATTCCCGTCGTTGTGGGAGCCGCTTCTGAACGCAATGGAAATTTACTTACCGCGATCGATCAACCCGGGGCGCACGCACACGCTTAGTTACACTGATTTTAATGAGGCCGCGGCGAGGAAAGTGTCTAATTATATAAACGAATCGCTGACGCGTTCTCCTTTTTATAGCTCCACCACCGACGGCGGAAGATAATTACGAATGCTATAAGCAACAATGTAAAGCGCCCACAGATGTAAAAATAACGCGCGTCGACCCTGAATTATTATATCGCGATTATCGAATATCAAAAATTACCTTATATCGATAGCATCTTAATATCGCTGGAAACACAAGTATCGGCAGTGATATATCTTATCAAGCTTATCACCCGTTTAAATTGTTTGAATGAAACAACACATCGGAATATCTGTACAACTGTCAAACGACGTGAATTTATAACGAAATTATAGAAAATTGTGTGAACCACGTCTTGGCTTGTGCTTAAAAAAAAAACTGTTAATGATGTAAAGTGAGGAAATCGTACAAGATACGATCGACGAGGGACGATTTCTGCACAATTTCGATCGCGCGGAATTTAGAGCGATCGAATTTACAAGCTCATGTCGCGCACTGCACGAAATATAACATGCAGCTAAGACGGTACCGAAATACACGTAACATCGCCGGATAATAAAATAAACAGGCGAACGGTATTGTATCCCGAGAGATATTCCCGGGATTGATTTTGCGCTTTCGTAGGTAATTTATTTGACTATATCATTCGTCACGGAACACAAATACTAATCGCAACTGTCGGGGGCTTTCGTTTTTAAATTTCAGCTATTGGATGTAACCTTCAAGCGAATCGAAATATTTGACGAAATTGGTAATTGCACAATTGTCATTTAATCGAGCGAAAGTCTCTTCCACGGATAGCTCTGCTTCGTTTAATCAATCACAGATTTTAAAGTCGACCATTCGACATTTTGTCTTAATATTTTTATATAATTGTATTTATATATTATTTAAAAATATCTTTTAATATTTCGCTCTATTTTGTATCTAAATTATGTAAGTCGCAACGTCGTTTGTTAACCTAAGGTCAGGTAGTAAGTACAAGTTACACCGAGGTCGCGTGTCTTTTTAAACTTGCGAGACATTTAATCTTGACGCGATCCTAAGAAACCAGGCGAAACGATCCTGCGAAGATTGCGTCAGGTCCTGGCAAACCGTATGAGGAAAATATAGTTGCGTACACCGTCAATCATGTGGACGTAATCGAGGTGGACAAACACATAGCTATTGCATGACGGACCAGGGGGGGGGGGATAGG